AAAGCAAAAAATTAGAGAACTTTTACACTTAAATGATTAAACTTCGAATTTTCGTTTGTACTTACAAAAACTAATGAAATTTCTAAGCTCAATGCCATTTTATAGCGCCATTCATCCATCAAACAGCTTTCAACCATTCATTTCAACTATTAAAACAAGTGCTTTAAACGTGTAATATACAAGACGTATATATATGGTATGTATATATATACATATAAAAATGTTAGCACTGCAAAAAATTCAATACAAAAAAAAAACAAAAAAAAAGATAAAAATTTAAATAAATAAAAACAATCAATAGTACTCGATTGCCATGCTACGTAAGCATAAAGTTTCTAATAAAACACTAGCACTATCTATCTATCTATCTATCTATCTATCTATCTATCTGTCATTTCTTCATGCACACGAGTAACACACTTTTTATATATATGTATATTATACATATAAATATATATATTCTATCTAATTACTATAAATACTAAAATATTTGCTAAATCAAAGTACTACCTACTACCTACTTATATACATATATCTATATGAATATTCGTAGACTTGGGTAACTAATGGATACACACAGTTCACAAGTACAATAAATGGGCTGACGTATGCACGAAACCCTAACAAAGTACCGCAAATTTATTTATTGCTTCTATTGTCCTAAAAAGTTTAACTAAGGCACTATGGTGAATAGTAAGGGGTTTTTATATTAAAAATCAATAAATTGCCTAAAACAGCTGATATTGCAATAAAAATGCCGCATGCAATATTTGTTATTATGTATAGAAAATCATTTTGTAGTATATTTGGTAAAATGGTTTAAAATTCAGGTTACTAGCATATTAGAGAAAGTAATTCATTTATTTTTAATTTTCTATTAAATAGAAATAATATATTTGTTTTATTAGTAATCTCAAATAATATTAACCTACGCTGGATATTTTAGTTTATGTTTTAATTGAATATATTTAAAAATATTAACAGCAAATTGTGTTATAATTTATATAAATATAATCGTATAATATACAATATAAATAAATATAATTTATATAAAAATATATAAATCTATAATCGAAGCTGTAAAAAATGTTTTGTAATAGTCTGCCATTCATAGTGCATATACTCAACAATTGCTCTACTTTTAATTCTAAATAAAATAATATATTTTCAAATATTTTACCCACCAATTTATTAAAAAAAATTACTTTTAAAAACACTCTTCTAATACATAAATAATAAAGTTACAAGTTAAAAGTTAAAGATTGGTTAATAAAATTATATTTTTAATATCTAAGCTGAAAAACTGAATGTTGAACTGTATTAAATATTTAACATGAACCTTATGCATATAACCAAAAACTATATAAATTTGATAAATAAGACTTGTGAATAAATAAGTTTGAAAATGAACGATTGTTGTTTTATTTAGTATTTAAAGAAAAATTCTAGAAACGCCAAAAAAAAACCATGTTTCAATAACTGGAAAGTAGTTGAAAGAACCAAAGGGTTTTATATATTCGACGATTGTACAAATCCAGATTTTTAATAAACTCTTAAAAACGAAATGATCATTAGACCATCGATTAAGAAGAAGGAATTTAAGAATTTAAAGTTCAAGTTGATGGTTTACAAAACCATCTTTAATTTTTAGTGGTTATCAAATTTATCATAACCCTTTTTTATCAAAAAAGTTAAGTACGGCTTTGGATCAGTTGGTTAAGGTGCGCTGATTCTGAGCTTCATATTTGGCAGGACCCGAGTTCGATTCCTGGTAATTGCAGTCTCAAAAATAATTATTTACGAATAATTAAATATAAGAATTATTTCCAAGACCACTGATGATGGGTATTTGGCAATACTCGGAACAGCTGTATGGTCAGCCAAAAATTCAATTAATTAAAATAATTTAAAAAATAAATAAATTTTTGTTGTTGTTTCACTTCTGTTCGAAAACCTTTTTAACCCTTTTTTGGAACCGAAGTGTCATACAAAATTAAGCCGAAATCTAATAATTTAATATTACAAGTATTTTTTTAAATTGTATTTTTAAAAATACCAAAAAGTTAGTGGTTCAAATATCTATATTGTCTATAAGAAGAACTTCAACTCGTATAAAAAGCTTGCTGTATTTTTTTTCTTCTTTTCGTGTATATCTTCTTATTTCCGAGTTTGATTTTCCAGTTCAGTTTATTTTTCTTCTTGATGTTTATATATTTTATATATTGTGAGCGTTAAAACTATCCAACTGATATTGTGATGAACTGTAACGTTAGACGTTATAGTATTCTGCTATTTTTCGAAAAGTAATGCAAAGGATCTAAAACATCAGTAAAGGATCTATTTTACCGTTGGTTTCATACTAGTTATCTAGTCCTCATATGTTTTATTTTATACCTCTCCATATATAAACTCTTGTATTTATCTGAAATACTCCTATTGAGAATTTTCGCTAACTAAGTGTAGGGTGTTTAAGGTTTGGCAAACCCGAAAATATATCTTTACTTCTATTTTAATTTTATTTCCAATTAAAATTTAACCGTAGAAAATTCTTCAATTTTACTGCCAATTTTCAAAGTCATAACAATTTATTACACCTTTCATACGTCTCGTACTTCACCCTTTATTAACTAAAATCAGTATTTTAATCTTGTATCAATTACGAGTATGTAGTATGTAGTATGTAGTGGCTCTCCACACCTGCAAAATTTAAAAAACATTTATATTGTATCTATAAGTTTGTGCATATAGCAATTTAAAGTCTGTACATGTTTTCTGCAACTCTGAAGCATCGCACATGTTTTTAAAGTTCCTCAAAACAATAACATAAATTTAGTCTCTAACAGCGAGCGCAATGTTACAGCGCTGTTAAGCATTAAAAGCGCACATAAATAACCATTTAATTTACGAGTTTGTTGCTTTTTGTACACAACAAACTCGTCTTTGTTCGCTTGTTATTGTAGTTTTTATTACTGATTCACCTACTTTTATTTTTCAGATACACCCGCTTACAAACAAAGTTCAATTTTGCCGCTCATTTAAGAATATAATATGTTAAAGTTTCATAATGTATAATGCATATGAATATTTATGTTTGCATACTTAAAAATATGTATGAGAATCTATGAATTAATAAAAACAAAAAAATGTTAAAATCAAATATTTATCTAGTTTATCCATAATAATTGCCAGGTGTTTATAGATATATATAGATATATTTATGTATGTATGTATGTACTTAGAAAGAAGACCGTCTATTTATTTGCACTATAAAGTAATATAAAAATAAATTATAACCACTTTTATTTAAGTAATATTTTGTTAGCTATTTTTGTACAAAGTCGATAGCCCTGGCATGCATTACTTCATAAATTTAGAATAATAATTTTAATAAAAAAAAATATTATAATAAAATAATAAAATTGTTAGATAAAGCGGTTTTGTGTGAATATAGTTATTTTGCAAATTGTTTTACAAAATATTTTGTATAAAAAATATGTATGTATAAATAATAAGTGTTTGTATATATGTTCGTAAATTTATTTAAAAAAAACTTAAGAAAACTATTTAAAACATAAAAAATATGAATGTTAAAATCTGTATTTAACATATTAAGTTTTTCTATTAAACTGGTAATTGCGGAAAAAAATTAATAACCATTTAATATGCTATAAACTATAAATTATGATTATTACAACCTTACTTTACCATTTCTTTTCTACTACACTAGCACTATGCTTACTACTGAAATCATCTCGCCTTATAGGCAACCTATGTTACAGTGCATAATATCTCACCTTCTTCATAAATTTTAATTAAAAAAGTATTCTTGCCGCCCTTATTTTCCGTGTACTACATACCGTGTCAAATTCAAATTAAAAATTATTACTTAGCCATTCAATCTGCACAGAGCACAATTGTATGAATATAAACACATAAAATTGGTTTGGCAGTGGAGTACAACACATCCAACTTCCTGCCATCATCCAGAATGCATTATTCTGTATCTGTATTCACAGTTCTGCACTGCATGCTCCATACAATTTTATATTTTTTATATATGAAACAAAAAAAATGTAAGATATATTGAGCTACTGCACAATTATGCTTTCCGCACGATTTCATTATACAAAACGGAACCACCAACGAAACCCGCATTGATAAAAAAGACCACCATGACGAGTAGAGATGACATCACTTGGAAAATAAGAACAATGACGAAAAAAACTTTTAAGTAAAAATAATATAAATATATATATATATTTGTAGCGCAGAGAATGTATGACAATTAAACTTACAGAAATATTTTTACTGAATATCATATGCAAATATATAATTCTATGCATGAGATTCCTTTGAAAACAGCACTCGGTTCTAGGTTTGAAAGCAGCACTCGGTTTAAGTAGAGCAACAAGCCTACTTTTTACTGGTACTAAAAATATTTCGCTAAATATATTCGTACGTCTTGTGAGTGCTTGGTACGGGTACTTGTACTTCTTATGCCAAATTTGTTACTACAAAGTTGTAACTTTTATGTGAGTGGGTTGGGTTTTTAGCAGTTGTTTGTTGTTTGTTTTATAACCTCATTTGTAATAAAAACTTTAGTTAACCTATAATCATTTAAATAGTTTAAAGTATAAACTAACAAACAATTAAGCGAAACGTGTAGTTAATTTTTAAAATCAGCAAACTTTGCACATTTAAAGGATTTTCTATATCTACCATAAATGCCAGTAAATATGTTGAACATTTTTTATACTCTTTGCACTGCATTTGAAGAGGGTGTATTAAGTTTGTTAAGATGTTTGTAATGGAGTAGAGTGTAGGTATATAGTTTTGATTGCTTATCGATCTAGTCATATTCATTTTACAAATCATTCTCGTCATTGAGTTATAAATT